CTTGATATTTGTCCTTTATCGTAGACTTGCTTGAAGGTTTATTTCTAATTTATATGTGAAATACTCTCTTTAACGCCCATCTCCCACAGCCTCTGTTCACTTTGCTGTTTAATATCTTGACGCAATTCGGCCTGATGGGGGCAGGTTCACATCATCTTCTGCTGATAGCTCCTATGGGATCTGTGAACTCATGTGAAGCTATGCAATAGCTTGGCCTTCTTTTGCATCTATAAAGAGTATACAGGTCTTACCAAAATGGAACGTGTCATTCAACAGGATATAAGAGGAGAAACTAGAGAAAATGCGAAATGCCCCTCCAGCCAAACAGCGCTCTTATCGAGTTCGAGAGATAGGAGGCCTGGTTGTCTCAGCTGGGAGTCAACCCGCGAACTGTGCACAACTGATAGCAGCGCTTCCTGCCGATGCATCATCGGAGCGCCGGATGTTTTGCTAGTTAGACAGGCGTTGTTTTAACCGTTTAGCAAACGCTATAATGGAACCAGAATTCTGCTAAAAACAACATTGTTCTAGTTTTTTTTTGCAAGGTTACACAGCGATTGTTAACGAATGTGACTAGTTACCACATAAGTTATGGGCGGAGCCATCGGAGGTGACGTAGTTGCCAACATCTAAGGTTCGGAGGTCAAATACCTTAGCGCCTTCCATCAAGGCCAATTGGAAATAGTTCTCATACCGGAATCTACGGTAGAGTAAGTAGGGAACATTTCACAATGCTCTCGAGCGACCTTGCCAAAGTTGCCGGGTCGCTTATTTGAGAGCAGGTTCGATTGGAGGAAAGAAGCTCTGCTTTCTGGTCCAGTGGACCTCGCGAACCGTAGCATGGGTCCATCCGATTTTCACTAAAATTCAGAATGAGAGTGGTATGCCTGGCGCATCCCATGGAGAATGTAATCAGTAGCGAACCCTCCCCCTTCTTTTCTCACACAAATATCACATTGTTAAAAAACCCATTTTTCAGGGACGCCCACATCAAAATGGCTGCACGTTGCCGAACGGTCAACCCTATTTGATGGCTTTGCGCAAGGAGTACAGAATGATGACAGACAACGAGAGGAACAGGTATGTATAATCAATGCCTGATACTTGTAAACTATGGAAGTGTGACATTAGGTTCGGATTTTGGCAGCGTGAATATGCCACTAAGAAAGGTCACAATTGCAGGCCTTCTATCTGTAGTAAATTTCGAAGGAAAATTTCTAAAGGGAATGGGTCAGCAGTGGGTGAACAGCAGTTCATCACAGAAGATCGTCTTAGCGTCCAGTCCAGTTATCGATTTCATACTGCTTTGAGCTGCGCGTAGCAAACTCGCCTTGGCTGAAACCGGGCCTACTGTCCGTAGTCCTTGAGAAGGACCAAATCTCCTCGAATAATGTCGAATTAAGGTTTCTCAAGCAATTATCTTGTTTTTGATGGAGTTCCTTCAGCTTGGGCCGCTGTAAGAACAACATTTCTCCTCAACCCGAACCAAAAGCCTGAAAATTTATGGCGTATTGGCGCCTTGGGATGTGCCACGCTTTCTGCACCTTCCACAGATTGTATGCTCTTGATCCAGTTGGCTCTGAGACTGCACTGACTGTAGTGTGAAGACTCTCAGTCGACCAGTTTTTTTTCTCATAGCAAATTCTGATGAAAAAACTCGCGAGCCCCAAACGAAGGTACGAGGAGAGTGAGTGAAGGAGGGGCAAAAAGTTGAGATGCACTTCACATCAGCAAAGACGCCGCACTGTGGAAGAAATGAAAAAAAACAGAACCTGGAATGAAACCTCGAAATGTACTCTAGTTCCCACAAACAACAATTCCTCGTGTACTGCGCGTACTAATGAGAAGCTTCAAGAAGGTGAGGGCATCCATCACAGGCGCTCCAGCCAGTTCCCTGTATAAAAGGTTGCCTGCAAAGAGTTCGGTCCAGGCGAGCGGAAGTATGGCACTTCTCATTTGTTTGAAGCTATCATTAAAATGTCATTTCCAGTTCCATACAATACCTCCATATTTTGAGACCCTCTCCAGATCTTCGGGGTTCTAAAGGAGGCCCTTCTGTGAGTATCCTTTCCTTATCTGTGGACTATGGATTCCGCTCAACCGGCCCGAAATTGAAGCTAAGTGTGTCAAAAATTTGGTTAAAAAGGCTAGAACAAGCAATGAGAGTGCCAATAGTGTTCTGCCTTGCCATTTGCGGCCGTCTCTCATTGCGAAGCCACCGCAAAAAACATATCGCTGCCTTCTAGGCCTTGTAAATGCCCTTGACTAACGTACCATACCGCATTCCTTCCTTTGATCAGTTCGCTTTTCCCTCCTAAAACTTCTCAATGAAGGCTATAACGCAGAGTCGTTTACTTGGTCCGCTCATTGTAAACACTTGAGGTCGAAGCGTTCGCAGTTGAAGCAATAAAGTTTACAGCCAATGTCTACCACTTGCGGGTAAGGATGAAGGGGGGCAGCGAATGACGATCTGGGACCATTTGCGACCCCTTCGGCCATTAGGTCCACAGTGCAGCAAAGGCTTTCAGTAGAAGTGAAAACAGTAGCCTAAATCAAAACAAGCTCCCAGTTGGGTCAAGATACGGTATTTCTTGAAAACAATTCAATAAATTGACCAGCCATTATCCGGCCCAAGTTCGCCTGATTACTTAGATTTACAAAGTATAGACCTAAAAACTTTTATGGCTATGTATTACTATATAAAAATTTTCAGCGTGAGGTCGAACTGAGAGGGTGGGGGGGTTGTAAAAGGGCTGTCTTGTGCAAATCTGGGATTACTGTGATAATAAATGCCTCTCCTCCGCACTAAGAATTGGGCGACTCTCGTAATGAGACTTTCGAGGCCAAAAAAGGCAGGGGCTCTAATATGAGTGAATCATTTTCCTTATGCAAAGAAAGGGACATTTCGCATTGAGGGGCAGTAAGCTTTGCAGGAATAGTCCTTTTACAGCTCTTCCTAGCAGGGTTTCCTCCATTGATTGAATTCCAGCTTCTATGTGATTCCCCCTCTTGAATTCACTCTTCTTTCAGATGGAACAACGCAATTATTCAGCTGAAACGTAGTGGGGAATATGATCGTCTGAGTGTTATGCACCGACAGGTTTGTCCTTTCACAGCCCTAAGAAGATAAAGAATAAGAATCACGAAAAGATGTTTGGGAAATGGCGTTGTTCGGCTTGGAAGGGGCAAAAGATATGAATTCACGAAAAGATGTTTGGGAAATGGCGTTGTGTCGGGCTATAAGGGGCATTTCTGCGCTTTTGCTAGTTGCTTCCGGCAGTTCACGTTGAATAGCAGGTCTTATCATTTGGAGACATAAGCTCTTGTGAAACAATCGAGTGGTAGGAGCCACTTTGGAAGCAGAAATTTGCAGGTCTAGGCAGGGTGGCCTGAAAAAGCCTAGCTCATTCATGATGATGTATGATTCATTGCCCACTCAAAGCCGAACTGTGCCACAAAATGGTAACGGAGAACATCTCTAGGCTTTCTCTTTAGGTCGGTTCATCGTCAGGAGCTCACTCTGGACCGGGTTTCCTCCCATGGCATCGTGAATACATGAAAAGGTACGAGCAACTCCTTATCTTGAGGGTTTCTCAGCAAGTCTTCATAGCGAAGTTTCAGGCTTGAAATCGCCGTTCGCATGATTGATCCTGGAATTGCTATGCCTTACTGGGACTCAGTGATGGACTCATATCTACCTGATCCACGTGATTCTATCATGTTTTCTCCAATGTTCATGGGAGAAATGGATGGCGCTGGACAGGTAGTTCGAGGACCATTCGCTGGATTTAGGACTCTTGAAGGACGACCTAATATCCTAAGGTGAGTCTGAGCTGATCGATGTTTTGGCTGGAGCATGAAATTCAAGTGGTCTCCTTTATTCAGACGCCTGGCCACCGAAGGAAAACTTTTCACCGAGGCTAACATCAATAATCTACTGAATCAGAACGAAATCCAAAACGTTCTTGCCTACACTGCTCCACAAAATGGTACGTTCACTTCAGCTATTTCTGAGCAGTCATTGTTCCAACGCCACCGGACAAAGGCCCGGGCAAGAGGCTGACAATGACAAAGAGAGATGGTTACAAGTGTCCTTCTACTAGACAGCGTATGCCTAATTTGACATTACGGCGCGCAGGGCAGTAGAGGACAGAGCGTCTACTGGTTTTCTATTCTTTTGATCTAGTTACTGTCCAAAGATTGAGAGCACCTTGCATTCGTCTGCAGTCGATCAAATTAGAAAGCGCTATAAGAAGCGCGCCATTTAAGGCCACCCAGCCATGATGAAAACATTATGCGGAGAGAAACTCCAATAGATGCCATCAAGGGTGCTGTACTAACTCTTCTATATTGAGGATAAGTAAAGTAATCTAATGAAAAATCATTGAAAATAGAAAGTTTTTGACTTACGCTAAAGCCAAGAGATGAAATATATGGGGGAGGGAGGGGGTGTCGAAGCAGAGAGGTAGCTCCGCTTCCGTTCCATGAAAATGACCATAGGGAGTTAGGAGTTCTCTCGGCGATGTCCCGGAGTGCGCCATGCAGCCAACATCCGTAAAGTCGTGTTTCCTTCCACAGCGTGCGTGACTAATTTGACTTTACAGCGCTCGGGAAGTAGATGACAGTGTGTCTACGGTTTT